GTCCCTCGAGATAAGCACCCACCTTTCTCTCCTTTGAACTGCTGCCAACAACTAAAGTGCCAAATTAACTGTAAAAAAACCCCACCAAAGTACAAAGTCCACACAGACCTTCAAGGTTTAATCTGAACAGAGCAAACAACTTTGCTTCCTGCAAAGATTTCTCTACCTGTGTGCCTTCTTTATACCTTAGGGGAGGGGCAATCACCTCCAAGGCTTACTCCCGAGTTGCCCCTTTTGTCTCCGCTGCTCTTGCCTTCTAGCAGCTCTGTGCACATGCACACTGGGAACAGGCTCCCCTTGTTCCTCTGCCTCTCTGTTGCCAGACTCCAGAGACTCCGGAGTCAGCACACAACTCCCAGGTGGTCCTGGCCCCATCTCTGCATTGGATGCAGGACCCTCATCTGAGTCCTTCCCAGACTCCTGGACTGGTCCCTGTTCTTCCCCACTGTCTGATTCTGCTGCCATTTGCACAACCTGCCGGTGAACCACAACAACCCTAACTTTATGAAAAGAGAGCAGCCTCCACTCTCTTATTGGGAGAAATATCCAGGTTCAGTTTTCAAGCTGGGAGAAAGGCATTGGAGACAAAATGGAAGCTGGAGGCTGATTGGAAAGATGGTTTAATGATGAAGCCAAACCACAGGGGTGGTTATGGGCAGCTGACCACATGGAGTTGAGAGTGGTTTTTTTTTTAAAGAAATACCTTCTCTTGGGCGTTGCCTTGAGCTTCCTGTTCCTGTGCAAGAACATGTGTTCTATTGGCTGTGGTCAGACTCTCATCGGGCCATGTAGCGGTCATAGCTGGCTCTATAGGTTGTCTGAGCTCCCAGGTTTGGTTGAAGTTTGCTGGAAGGAAATACTCTTAGGAGCTTGTGCAACGTAGTGAGATCTGTGTCTTCTGCTAAATGGTAGTGGGTTAATCCTATTATGTCCTGAGGAGTAATCCCATCATCTTGGAGCTGAAGGTCTTTTGTTTTGTAGATAGGCTGGCCCAGTCTTTCTTAATGGGCCCAAAATATCAGCAAGGGACAGGGACCTGGAGCTGTTTCTGTCTTCCTTAAGATTTTTTACATTTCTCTTTTAGGGAAAATATTTTATCCTGCGTTTTTAAAGATGAAGTTACTGATGAAGTTACCTAGATTGATAATGAACCGTCAGGAAATTTCTCCTTATTTCTAGTGAATAATCTCCTTGATCAGAAGAGAATAAAGGGGTTGGAAGCAGGGGTGGGATTCTACAGGTTCGCACCTAGTCACTAGAACCGGTTGTTAACATTCTAAGCAGTTCGGAGAACCGGTTGTTAGAAGAAATTACTGGGCTAATCCTGTAAGGAAGTCAAGGAAGGAAACATTCTGGTGTTGCTTAGAGAAACTGCCTCTCCATTAACCCTTATTACATTCTTGGCAGGACTAGACTTCCTGTCTCAGGAACGTCTCTGGAGTTTTTTCCCCCTCCTTTGCTGGTACTTTGCTTGTGTGGAGTGACCGTTCAAAGTTACAATGGCACTGAAAAAAGTGACTTATGACCATTTTTCACACTTACGACTGTTGCAGCATCCCCACAGTCATGAGAGGCCAGGCAAGAAGATGCATGCCTCGATGTGAGTGATATTGAGTTGGCCACACCCAGCCAGTCACATGACCATCAAGCCACACCCACCAACTAACCCCCCCCCCCCAGAACCGGTTGTTAAAAACTTTGAATCCCAACCCTGGTTGGAAGGGATCTTGTAGGTCATCTAGTCCAATCCCCCAGCCAAGCAGGAGACCCTATAGCATTTAAGACAGGTGGCAGTCCAATTTCTTCTTGAAATCCTCCAGTGATGAAGCTGAACTTCTGAAGGCAACTTCTGTTCTCTTGGTTGATTGTTCTCACTGTCAGAAAGTTCCTCCTATTTCCAGGTTAAATCTCTCCTTGTTCAGTTTCCATCCAGTGTTCCTTGTCTGGCCTTCAGGTGCTTGGAAAATAGCTTGACCCCTTCCTCCTCTCTGTGGCAGCCCCTCAAATATTGGAAGGCTGCTATCATGTGTCCCCTGGTCCTTCTCTTTACTAAACTAGCCATGCCCAGTTCCTGCAACCATTCATTGTATATTTGAGCCTCCAGTCTGC